TTTTGGATTGTTAACCTACTATATAAAGACAATCAAAATATCCAATAACTCCCGAAGGGTTTATAGGGACTTTAATTTATAGAGTAATATGCAGAAATTATGATATCATTTTAACTCATATTCCAATTATATATAAAATATATCAGAAATTATTGAATATCATCGCTGATATTTTTTTAAGTTGCTTAGCACAAGCACTGGAAAAACTTTTGGCAATGATATCCCATAGTTTCTGAGATATTTATAAAAGATCATAATTTCTGCATACTGCTGTAAATTGATTTTACTCATTTAAAGTGATTTAAATTTTGTGTATTTAAAAATATCTACAATGTATACTGAAATTAGCAAATTTATTAGGAATTATTTCTTTGTAAATATTGTGAGACACATTAGATCATTATATTTACATGATATATTTGCGACATAGACAATAAGAATTATCATTGTTATAATTTTTAATGGAAATTTTTATTAGCATAATGCAATGATTTTACCATTGAATTTATTTGTATAGCTGTTACAGATAATATAATTCTCAGTAAACATTGAAAGCTAAACCATGATAGTTTAAAACAAGAATTTGCTTATGTTTTCAAAAGTATTCGCTTATCACTTGCATGTTGATGATTTCGTAGCCAAAGTTGTTTTCGATATATTTTTCTCTTTTTGGCGGTCATGTTTGATCAGCCAGATATACAAAATTAAAGCAGTTGGTATGATCACACAAGAACTTCTAGATTTCATTGGTCTAGAAGTTGTCAAAAACAATTAATAATGCTATTTCAAGGAATGTAAGTAACAAGTATGGTGTAAAAGGTTTGGTCATACAACTTGCTCATAATACTGACAGCTTGTTCAGAGAAACTTGTCGAACAGTATTAGTTCGGTCTTTATTGCATTTCCCTTGTTGTATTAATTGAAAAAGTTGTTCCGACGATTTTTTTACAAAAAAATCGACTGCCTGACGTTTAGACACTCCGTTTATAGAAAGTATAATTTATATAGTCAATCCCATTAACGCGGTTCACACTAAAAAAAACAATTCATTTGTATAAAAACGTTTTTTACTTATTCGCTGGAAGAATTGTAATTCTAAAGTCCATAAATAGCGAGTTAAATGTTATTGACATAGTAAAGAAGTTTTGGTGAACTTTATGTTGAATATTCTTGCAAAGAAACAAAAAACACTATATATGCAAATGCATTTGTCTTTGTGTCTTTACAACTGAACAGCGTTAATGGATTGACCATATTTCAGTCGAAAAGAGAGACAAATGCATGCAGAGAGCCGTTCAATTACAATACAATTACTTTTTTCTTTCTTTTTTGACTGCCAAAAAGCATAGAGTTCTTAAGGAAAGCTTGTATTCGATTTGTAATTTGTGTGAATTAAACGTAAAAGCAAACACTGTCAGATTCTTCGTGCGCATGTGCGGCGAAAACGGAAATCCTTATGCCGCCATTTTGGTTGACAGAGGAAATAATTCTCAGTAGCGGCTCTCTCCGCCAATAAACAAAACAACTTGACGCTGTTTTTTTTTTCTTCTGTATTAAACTCTTAAAAGATTAATTGTTGAAAGATGGATCGCCATTCAAGTTTGCGGTACCTGTTATTTTGGTAAATCAAAACTGTTCGCGGTATTTACCCGACAATTGTCTACTCGACCAAAAGCAAGCTAAACACCTAGAAGTCATTTCCGCGGAAAAGATATCTTGTTGAATAGCGGTTTCAAACAATATTATTTTTTAGGGGAATGCCCAAATGACCGTATTCTTTTACAGCAGGGACGCTCATTTTAAGCGGCGCGTATCACCAATTCTTTTTCAGCCTTGGGGCATCCGCTTCCGATTCAATTTTTATGCAAAATGATTAAAATAATTGATAAAAGGAAAACAAATATCATAATTAGCCTAAAAATTGCCGAGATCAAGCCGTGATTTTGTTTGACGGATCTTGAATTCCAAGACAAACCGAAAAACATTTCACTAATAAAAATGGCATTAATACCACATTAAGGACACGAACCAAATAGTCTACCAATTATTTTTTAAAACGTGTTTTTTGTGATAATTCAATTCCTGACTAGCTATAAATTGGAATGCGCCATTGCCTGGGTTTTCGGCAAATGCAAAAGCGAATGTTGTTAAACCAGGTGTTGAAGTACGCGACATGACCTAAAAATCAGAAGGTAATTTTTTTCCTTTTGGATGGTAATGCAGCTAAGACCAATTTAAATTACACAAATAAAACGAGAAAGTAATAATACACATATAGTCCATATTCCTATTGCTCAATGTAATCGTACGTGGAGATAGTGTAAGGTTTAGCGGTCACTGAGTGAAAAGCAATTGAGATCAGCTTTAAAAATATAGGCAATACATGCAAGTTAGTCTCAAATTTATCATAAATCCATAAATCAATGCGTATAACAAACATGTTGAGAACAAAGGCAATAGTAATCATTATGTATTTTTTTCCATTTTTTTTTCTTTTTTTTTTTTTTACTTTTTGTAGACTGTTTATGATCCAGTACAACATTTTTACCTTAGCTGATATTTTTTTTAACTATTGATTATTCCCTTTTTTTTTATTTTATTTTATTTGTTTATTTTATTTATTTATATTATCATTTTCATTTTTCCATCTTTTGCTTTGATCACCACTGCTTTCCATCAAGTCGAAAATATAACAACAACAATCCAATTCGCAAGCAGCAACGTGATAAATTAACAAATATTATCATGGTTTACGTGATGTATGACATAAACAATTTTGAAATATCCGTACCGTGGTATAGCATATGCCAAATATCACTCCAAAGTGGTATTACCTATATAACTGACAATGAGTGCAGTATAGGGACAATATCAGTGTCCATCAGTCAGGAATTGCGAGATTTTAATTCAATTTGCACGTGTAGTAAAAACCAAATGAAAGCACAAAAAGTGAACAACAAGTGTATTTCGCAGCCTGTTAGCAAGTCTTAGCGATAATAGCACAACCATTAACGTAAGACTAATCATAAGAAGAAGGATTTCACATGTAAATTTTCTAATATAAATTCAAGTAACGAAAAATTCCTCTTTTTTTGGATGTTCAAATATTCTTATTCCTTTGCCATGCATTTTTATTTTGTTTTTCTCATTGCGCAATTTCATGTTTTAAATGTAATGTGCAATATTCATTTGTAGTTCTAGTCACGTGACAATATTAATCGTTTTTTGACCACTTTTGATTTCACTTATCAGTTCCCTAAGCCGTCAATCAATATATACACAAGCCCAGTAATGTAATAATTTCTATTAACGTTTTGAAATATTAGAAACGTAACATAAGCCCAAACATATCAACAGAAACGTTGCTCAAAGTAAAATACCCTCTTCGGTGATATACAAAAAAATATCCAAGTGTTTTATGCGAGTAACAGACCTTTTATCGATGAAGTTGATTTATTCATGATTTTAGGTCAACCTTTCCGAACAACTGGCGCCCAATTGACACTTCACTTACAATGGAGGCGTTAAGGAAATTCTTTGGAAAACACTAAGCCGAATAATCTGACAAAGATACTTTATGTCGATCTAAGTAGGATGTGAGTTAAACCTTTCTGATTTGAGCCGAAATGCTGATCAAGTTTGTTTTGCAATTTTGGTGCGTTGTATAGCCTTAATACCTCTTTTGAGCTTCTTTTCTACTGTGGTAATCAAGCATGGATGGCTCGGTCTTATCTTATCGGAATGGAATAATTGATTGTAGGATGGAAGAGGGGGATTGGATAAGAGGGTAAAACGAAAAGCGTTTCCGATATAAAGAGAAATTCAATCGCTCTTATCCAAACATTGCTATACTATTTTTGATTTGCACACGTTCGCTCTAATATCTCTTCTTGTACTTTTTAGAAAGAGGGATAAGATAACAAGACTTGTCACTGGTCGCCGTTCGCTGGAACACACCACAGAGATTCTGGAACTAAACTCGCCTTTAACTTCAAGTGATCCAGAGGAATTCTTCACAAGGAATCAGATCACTTGTCGGTAAGTTGACAAGCCAGTAATCAAGCATTGAACCCATTGAAATATCCTTGTAAAAAAGGGGATGCTTTGAAATGAAAATGTCAGTGCAAAGGAGCACATTTGACAACTTAAAAACATCTGACACTTAAGGAAAACGACCTCATCTATTTCGAACAGAACATTTTGTCTATAGATGACAGCTTTTATGAGAAAATCAAAAGCGAAACAATTCGACAGTAGAGCGAAATAAAATTCATTTCAAAAATGGTTGTAGTTCAACATGAAAAACATTTATGCCTCTTTGGGGCATTTTTTGTCTAGACAATTAGTAATCAATAAATGGATAGAGCTAAAACACAGAATATTCATATATAAGTAGAATTAATCACAGAGACGAACATTTACTCTTTTTCGTTTTACGAGCTTTATGTAAATCATAATATAAATATTAGCTGCGTCGATTCTTTTTCCTTCTATTTCCTTTTTCATAAAATTTCCTATATTTCAAAGTTAATTAAGCTATGTTCCTCTGCTGAGAAAAAGAGGCACCACTCGAAAATTGCAGAAGGAAGATACGTTTTCAATTTATTCTAGCATGCGTGATTTTCTTGATCACTCGAATGAAACATGACAACATTTCCATAATTGTTGTAATAATCAGGAACATTCAAACTCGAGGAGAATGTTGTATCCTCTTGTTTCACTTCATGTCAATCGCATTTACACCGATTATCACCTTTTACGAAACCTCAAGTAGCGCACGCTCTGCAGATAAGGCCATTTATTCACAAGAAAACTACGCAGATCTTGTTAAAAAAGCATTAATATATTCATTAATGACAGATATCGATGTACTCAAGCTATCACGAATCGCAGAGGGTCGTTATTAATTGCATGTATAAATGATTTACAAGGCGCGCTTGGTCTCGTATCGATTAGTGATCACTCGTCCTATATTGCAAGATGACGTCGTTAATCACTCTCCTGACGTAGTCAATTAGGAAAAACGCATTTTGAAAATGTAAACGTGAGCGATTCAAACGGTCGGAATGTTCCTTGTTGGATACACGCTTTGTTTTAACGCACATACAGTTTAAACAAAGCTCGATTTTTTTTTAAGATTGGAACTGGCAATAATTGTATAGAGGTATCCATGTTAATCATAGTTACCCGATTTCTGTCAATGGTTTTTAAGACGCCATGTAAATGGATATTGAATATACAACTTAAACGTATCGCGGTCTAAACTGTTATGCTTTCTAAAATTGAAAACAAACAAGCCATTAAAAAAAGAATATAGCGTTAATTGGTATTATGTGTAAGTAAATATCCTGCAGTGGTATAGAGGTAAACTAGGTTCTTAAACTCAAAAATATAGACACTTCATAATATTGCAGAAAAACTATGCAGGATGCAGTGCTTCAAGACCGAATTTGGGGCGCAAAATGACCGAGTATACCAAACATTACGACATTGCTTTAACTTTAATATTTTCAAATTATAGAACAGTTTTAACCAGCGATAAAATCATATTTTTCTCTTAATAACGCATTGCTACTCAATGAACGGAAGAATTCATATCCGTTTGAACATTTCAGCCCCAGCACATCACAGAAGTTTTTTTATAATTTTCCATTTGAGTATATCAAAACGGAACAATTAACGTAGTCTAAGTGACTTTTTAGAGATTTTTTTGGATAGTTTCTTCAAGATAAGTATTTCGAAACAAACAACTTGAGAAGAACGAAATTGAACAAACAAAGTTTACAAAATAATTTGTTTGCTCATTATTAGGACTAAGATGAGAGATTAGTTAGCATCAACCAATTTTTTCCTTGAAAGCGCTCAGTCCACATCAAAGTGACCGTTTCTCAATTTTTTTATTTATTTTTTTATTTTGAGGTTATATATCAACACACACATCTTAATTTATGTTTTTATAACTCAATATATTTTTAATTAAACTAGGAATGCTCGGTAGTTATTTCCTGTGTTCATTTTGTTGTTCCAGTTTCAATTCTCAATAGCATTTTTAGAAGCAATTGTTTATCAACAGTTATCAATTAAAATGTAAATATCGATTGACAAAAGATCTCGAAATAAACAGGAATTCTAGAAACTATTATACTCTTATCAATTATATCTCAATCTGTTCCACTTAATATCTAGAACAATGCAGTTTCATCATATAGAACTGTGCCGCCAGTCCCTGAGGGCTAAGGGAATAATATCATAATGGATTAATGAGAACATATTCAGATCTTGCGAATTACCCGGAGGGACACAAACAAGAAAACAGATCAATCGTTATTGAACACATCTGATTCAAAAGCATAAAAAAGGATTTCAAGTAAGTGCACATCTGAGTTATGATCTTTCTTTACATAAGACAAGTTTTTGTGGTCTTGTCTTGGCAACTAACATGCTGTGAAATACTGCCCCTTGTCAACTTCAATTTAGCGATAGGAATTGTGACTACAGGTACTTTGGGCTGTTCCTTTAGCTCTCTCCTCGAACACAAAGTAAACAAAGTAATTTTTTCTATATTTTGATGAAAAAGAAGTTATTTAAGTGTAGTTAATACAAACTGAGTAATAATGTCCGTTGCATGTAATGCATGCGTGTTAAAAAAAACATTGTTTTGATTTCTTCATAATCACAACAACAAAAAACGATCATTTTTTATAGCTTTTCCTTTTTGCTTTTCTTTAGGGTTCTAATTCTTCTTATTCTTTTGGTGAATTACTCTGTAAGTTCTTTCGCGGGTTAAATGAGATTCTTATTGAAGATTTAATTAATTAAGCCTGCTTTTCAATGGCATATGATGATGCCTTTTGTAGATTATAGTGCAAAGCTGCAAAAAAAAGGTCTTAGTATCTATAGGTTTTTAAAATATTTTTGAAGTAATAAGGATATTTGTATATCTATTTGTTACTTTCTGCTGTCTTTGATTATCATTGACGACCTTTTGTACAATGGCGGTTTTTAATGCACGCACTTACCATTACTTGACATAATAGATTTTGTAAATAATCTCATACTAAAATAACTATTCCTTTACAATTATACCTAATTTACGTTTATTTGTTAATGTTGTATCAGTACAATGTTTATTCATATATGATTTTTTTTGTTTTTATATTATAATTCATCAACAAATTAGAAATTTTTTTCCCTATAATAAAAATGTGTTTTTGATTGCCGAGCTTTTGGCTTTTGTCTATTATCAAACTACATCGTCAATTAACAAAATATTATGACCATGATATTTCACAACCCGCGCGACCACAAAAGCGACTTAAAAATAACATGATGACAAGCTGTGACAAACGCAACTGTGCCTGACAAAGAACGCCATAGACGTAACTACAAATAAAGAGATAATTAAGCGAATAAACATTTAAAAATAGGAAATCTGAAGTCGTGCTATGTTTATTTATAGAGCGAGTGTAAGTTGAGCTTTAAAGGAAAAAAAGTTTCAAACGTAGCACAAAAAAGCCGTAAATTGTAAGAATTGACGGACGTCTTGAACGGACGCGCCCGTGCGTTATACGTTATCTGATAAAGCCCTTACCCCAACCAATCAAAGCGTGCGTTTTAAAGAAGTTTTGCACAATATCTAATTAACAAAAGTAGGCGCGGTATATCAAAGGAAAACAATATTAGATATCGCGCAAGTACTTTGCTGATGACCGACATAGTCGAAAAAGTTTTTAATTAAAGATTTTATCTTATTGAGGTAAAAAGTTTCTTTTCGCAATGAATATTTAACTTAAATTATATCATTTACTAAATAAACATGTTGAAATAGCTCGAATAGTTTGAACACATTTTGAATAGTTTGACATCAAAGTTACAACAAGGTGATGCTAAGTTTGAAGTTAAAATTTTAACTCTCTAAGAATATCAAAATCGTAGCAAAAATGTCATACGACAAAGTTTGTTTTACTAGTTCCAAAACAGAACATGACAAAGCCCATCGAACACTTCATTAGTAAAGAATTCTAATAATTTGATAATAAAGTAACTAAATTGGGAGATAAGCTCTACCGCAAAAGTTTATAAAACGTTCCGATTGATGTGTGTATGGGTTAACAAACACATCTTAAGACCCTCTTCTTCATAATATCCACAATAGCACAATTCAAGAATAACTCGATGCCTTTTAGTAGGTAACTTATTCCTAAAATATTCCATTAATAAGTCTTTAGTAGCTGAAGAAATAGTACTGACAAACGACACTGTTTACTGTTTTAAAAACGATACGTCGACGTGGATTATGAAATTCAGTTCAGTGTCATTATTTTCTAATTGTTTTAGAGGTTAAATTAATCATGAATGATATTGAAATTTAAAACAAATATCTAGTTGTCTTTGGCTTCGTCAAATTATAGAATAGCCATTCCAGATGTCTATAGAACACTTATAAATACGCGCGCGCATGTTAACTCTTGGAGCTCCGCGAACGCTATATTTTACTTTATTATAAACCACGGCTGAGCCTTATTTATTTGTTAAGTATACGCGCGCAAACAATTGTAACGGAATTCATTTTTTGCACTGAAGAAGATCTGAGAGCAGATCGAAACCTCTGAATAAAAAAAACTAATCTAGAGACAACTAGATATTTGTTTTAATCATGAAACCTAGATGCAACAATCATGTTTTGATATTGAAATTTGTTGTTATTTTTAGAACATAGAAAGTTGTGCCACCATGAACTCGAGTCAAAACGTCACGATTCAAACACCCTTTTCCTTCACATTAAACGCAACCAACGTCATCTCTGCTTCTCTTGTTGCGCTGCAAATTATAATCAACCTTGTTGGTAATATCATGGTAGTGGTCTGTTTTCACCGATATTCTCATCTCAGAACAAGATGCAACTATTTCATCATAAGCCTTAGTCTAGCAGACATTTGCGTTGCTTTATTTGCAATGCCATTCTGGCTTGTTCTTCAGTTGACAGATAATATGGAAAGAGATGTATTTTTCATTATTAGCAAGAAGGTGTATTTGTTTTGGAGCAGTATGGACATCTTGGTAGGTGTGGCTTCGACAACAAATCTTGCCGCCGTCAGCTTTGATCGACAGCTTGCAATTACGTCACCGTTTCATTATCAGACTCTGCTATCACACAGGAACGTTATAGCACTAATAGTAGCGACGTGGATATACTCCATTTTGATTACAAGCGGACGCATCATTGATAACCAGGAATTTCTTCGTGTATATTACATTCCTCTTGCGGTTACCTTTGGATGTTTCCTGCCGCTGGCTGCAATGATCGTCATGTATGGCAGGATATATTGGGTTGCTCGTTCACAAGCTGTTAAACTTGGAAACTACAGTAAAGACATCAAAGCAGCAAAGACAATTGCTATTGTAATTGGAAGTTTCCTTGTTTGCTGGCTGCCATTCTTTCTGTTTTCTTTATCGGTCTATCTTTTGCTATGCTGCTTTCATGGAGGCTACAGACCTGAGATCATACCAGGCGCACGCGCAGTGAAGTGGATGGCTTACTTGAACAGCTGTCTGAACCCAATTATTTACACGTGCTTAAATAGGCCTTACAGGAGTGCGTTTTACAAGATGTTTAAAAGGTGTTTTCATCGGGAAAGGTTTCGTTCATATAATCATGGTCATAATACCAGTCAGGAGTTACACAGGAATCATCATTGTGCCGACGATACAATTACCTTTGCAATAACTCGAAAAAAAGGAAAAGGCAGCATTTCCAACGATGATTCGTCAACGCTCAAGAAACAGGAGAATCAAGTTGTTCTTTTAAATGGCGAGGATGGTCATGGAGTGTGACATCGACCACGCTAACCATTGTTTTAAAATTTCTTGGGATTTCGCATTTGCGTCATTCATGCGGTTGTTGACGTCAAAATCATTTTATTGCATGTTTCACCTCGAACTAAAATTAAGAAAGAAGTAGTCGAGACATACCGACTTCTCATSTGTAGCTATAAAGACGAGATCACGACAATTGAGTGATTGATTTTCCATGAACGAGTGGGGTCTTAAAATTGTATGTGGAATAACGTTCTCAGGGAGAACGGACAAGTTTAATAGCCTGAGTACTAGTAATTTAAGCAACTATCAATGAAATATGATTGGTCTAAAGTTGATCGACAGTACGCAGCATCATTTTGGGAGAAAAAAACATTCATACCTCAAGAGTCAGAATTCACAGTTTTGACCCGTAAGATGGAGTTATGTGTACATTTCCACTAACTTCGATTCAGGCAGTCGTGGAATAACTTATATCCATAGAGATGATATGCAAATTCCTTGATTGCATTATTATTTAGATTAGTGTTTTTTATATAAAATGACTTTGCTTGATTTTACTTGTCGGAAAGATAACCATTGGATATAGCCTTAAAACAAACCGAAACACATATATTCTCTATTGACATGATGGTAATATATGGTTATCAATCTATTATTGTAAAGACCATCTAATTGCAGGATCGCCTATCAAATTGCAGAACCATCTATTATACATCTGTGTACATGTGAAGAAATGTAGCATGCTTTGGATGGTGATTTCATATGGTAACCTCTGATGAATGCGTAAAGGCATTGATGTCTCGTAAAGGCCGAATTAGACAAAACAACTTTTGCCTACAACCCTCGCATGCGACCTGCCAAGGTTATCATTGCAACATGGCTGTATGCAACTGTCGTGGGACTATTAAGCAATTGTTTTAAATCCCTACGACAGTTGTATCTAGGTTGAATGCGTTGTTTGTAAGCAAACGTTGTGTCGTCTAATTCGGCCTTAACAAGTATGCAGGGGTACATTTTTTGAGATGTCATCCTCGGAACTTTCCAAATATGAAGGCTGAGCACTAACTTGAGGATCAATAGAGGCTGATTTGGAGAATTCCTAGTGTGGCTGCTTAATAGAGTTACAAAGATACTAGTAACATGAAGGAATTTGTAATTAATGGGCTTCACTCCTTTTACTCGTGAATTTTGAAATTTTATCAGCACAAACGTTGAGGACTACAGAGCCTACGCATCCAAATCCACCCAAACTGAAAATACTCATAAACGAAATCGTTCACGATGACCTCAAAACAAATGACGATCGTTGCTAGATACGCACTGAAATCAAAGGTGTTCAAAAGAAGTTAAGCCTTCTCCGAGGGAAACTCTTCAGTTTGCCATTTATATCAAAGAAGACAGGAAGCCCAAGAGTAGAAAAAGAGACGAAAAAGAAGAGCGACGCCTGACGAGGAGTCTACTTTGCATACATGAACTAAAAACTTCTGAAAAACAGCACCCTTTATATGAAACATTAAGCTTTCCTAAAGATTTTTCTCAACACTAAAGTATTCATCTCGGATTTTCCGCATTGACGACTCGGAGTGTTAGTGGAAATATACTTTTGTCCCTCCTCCGTCTCTTTCTCTATACTGGAAGGGTTCGTTTACTTGATATTTGAATTAATATATAGACTAGGACTAGGGACCGGGGGCGGGGGGTACACCCCTCCTTCCCCTCACCAGCCCCATTCCTTTACCGAGTTATTTATCAGTTAACTACGGTTCAAAATAAAACTTAGAAATACCCATGAAGAGTCCTTTGAGTCACATGATCTTATCGTAAGCTAGGAAAATTGTTAGAACTTTTACATGAACTGTACTTATCTATTATTTTTCTCTATTATACAAATTATGAGCTAGAATTAGACGTTTTTATCGAATGTCTTTAGCTTCAAAAAGTTGGCATGCTTTCTTGAAGTTTTGAAGAGATAATTAGGATTGAGAAACTTTGGCAGCTAGTTTCTAAAATGTTGTCCAGATTGACTAGAATTAAAGAGCTTTAACTTGATCCGCAATAATAAAGTAATGAATTTTTGGATTGATTAACTTCAATTCTTAGGCATTAATGATTTCCGAAAGCGTTTGGACAACCTTCTAAAAACAGCTGTATACTGATGATTGAGGGAGTATACGTTTTTTGCAAGTAGGAATGCATATATTTAACTGTAATATAGCAGTGTATAATCATAGGGAGCTGGATAATCACTATATTTATATAGAATATGTAGAGATATGAATAAATACTGTTCGCACTACTTCTAAAGTACAATCTGTCAATGTAATAAACAGTAGCATTGAACACTTGTTTGGTTGTAAAAGAATATTGTTTGAGGATGGATATGATATGAAGAATTATATTGATTGGGTTCAAGTAAGATGTGAATGATTATCGGTGACGCTGATGTGATATGAAGAATTATTATTGGCTGAGTTCGAGTGCAATAATAATATTGCAAGTATGATGTGTATGAGGCCGAGTGTGATATAAAGAATTATTATTGAACTGGGTTCGAGTGTAGGATATGAAGAATTATTGGTTGAGGCTGAGCATAGTATATAAAGGATATTACATGGGCGCGCGGAGATACGGATTTTATCTTCGCGAGTGCTGAAAAGATCTCTCACGAGTGAGCGTAGCGAAGGTGAGTTGTTTTTTAAAAACTTTTGCTTTGAAAAATCCCGAAATTTTTAAAATCTATTGTTATGTTTGTTTTTTTGTTTTTTAATCAGAAATGTAAAACGTTTGTTTCGTCAACTCTGATTTTCGGATTAGTTGATTTTTGAATTCATGCTACTGCAAGCTGTACAAGTCCCAGACGGGTCCGTTCAATTTTATTTTAGATATCGGTCATTGTTGAGGCCAAAAAGGTTTTGAAGTTTTGCAGGCAAAAAAAAACATTTATACGGATCCATTTAGTTACAGATTTTGTTATGAAGAGATATAGAAAACAGACTAATCATTTCGGAAACTAATAACTTCTCTTTTCGAAGTTTTTATAAGCTCATTCTTAATTCGATTCGATAAGATTAATGATCGAGAACATAAGCATAACAGCGCTTGAGATTCAGTCGACTCATCATGAATGAACTTCAGCAAATTTGCTTATAAAAATCAACTAAAATTAAAACTAAGTAATCGTGTATCCTGACAGAAAAGATGTAAACTTACCGTTTTCAAATCGAAACGAATCCAAATTTTCAGTTTATGTCATAAAGGCCTTTGAAAATTTGATGAGTTTTAGAGTTTAACATCAAGCTCTTTTAACATCAACCTGCCCAGTTCATGAGTCCAGCAAATAGTCTCCTTCACGGTTACCTGCGCCATGTTGAAAGGTAGCCGTGCCTTTACATCGAAGCGAGACAACCGTTGAGCGTGCTATGATAGAAACCTGTCAATAATTGTCAGTAGGTGTGAAAGAAGGTTTCTATCATTGCATGCTCAACGGTTGTCTCGCTTCGATGCAAAGGCACGGCTACCTTTCAAGATGGCGCAGGTAACCGTGAAGGAGACTATTTGTGGTCGACAAAATGTTTTTGTTCCGACTTAACTTCAAAATAAGTTAAGTTTTTGCTAGTGATCAGTTAAAATTTGTAGCCAAAAACTGACTCGTATAACTTAACCTTGAAAGTCTTGAATGAACTGCAATATACCACTTTCTGTGCTTGAATTCTATTGGTCAGATGCAACAATGAAAAACTAAACTGGCTTCGTTTCCGTCTGTTTCTCAAAAAAAATATAAAATAAATAAATAAAATAAAAATGAGTATCACTACTCTGCGAACACTATTTACTGCAAAAACGTGCTATTTCTTTCCACCATAGATTCCAGAATCGTGCATTTGCCTGTTAGTCGTGCAAGAAATGGATGGCTCAGGGATGACTACTTTTGTAAGGAAAATTGATAATGTTTCACGTCAACAAATAAAAATTCCCGGCCGTCTTATTTTTCACCGTTTTATGAATGGCTTATATTTATACATGTATATAATCTCGCGGTGGCCTGTTAATTTTAAACTTTTCTCGTGTCTTTCGCAACATAACTACATTCATACATCCCTCTGGTAGAGCCATGATAGTGACATAAATAAGATCTCCAAATATTTACATTATATCAAAATTAGTTTATAAACCTTTTTAAAAAGACCTTTTTTATAAGTTATTATAAAGTATAAAACTATTAAAGAAATCTTATTTTTCTTGTAATTTCATGTAAGATTTGCTTGATTTTACAAAAAAATACAGTTTCGCCATCCTACAAATTCAAGATGGCCGTCGTATTTTGAATGAGGTCAGCTACTATTCAAAAAATCATTATTATTTTCTGTTTTACACACGCTGCATCACTGAAATGCTGACATATTTAAGTCAACAATTATTCTATTACAGTCAACACAATGAAAATCTTACCTCACGATGGGTCTTTGCTAGTAAAGGTCACGCCAAAACAGTCTACCAGTCCGTCCAGTTAGTTGTTTTGCTTACCTAGAAGCAATCAAGTACTAATATGCAGTCATTTATTGATTGACCTCTATAAAAATCAAACAAAGGAAAAAGCAAATAATTACATAGCATAGAAACAATATACATTCCTATTGCATGAATCGAATATGAATGTGCCTGCCTTACAAACAACAAAACAGCACTAGTGTTTAATCCTATTATATAGGCCGACACTAGCGACAACTACACAATGATTGTTTTGAGGTATATATAGGTACAAACTGAATTTTTTAAAGGGGTTTCTGCATGATATTACAGAAGTTGAAGACTAACTTTCTTACAATACACTATAAGTAATAATTAGTAAACAGTAAAAATTTAATGAAATTAATTAAAGCGAGAAAAGAAGAGCTGTTTGTTAATGCATTAATGTATTATGAAATAAAAATCAAATGAGTCACCGATTTATTTTTCATATAGAGAAACTTCAAAGTTGCTTTCCTTTTTTTCCTTTCATGCAATTTTGATACATTTAACTAAAGCTCTTTAGTAAGAAAACCCTTGCTTTTTTTCGAGAGAGACAAGCTTTATATACTATAAGGTGTTTGCGTGTCAAAACGTTTCGTCTTCCTCGAAGCCTCGGCTGCCTTTCTTTAACGGATTAGGTTCAGCTTAACGATATAATAAGGAAGATTACGGGTTTTTTTTTCGCTATTGGTTTACGCTTCTTTCAGAATTCAAGATTGAAAAATAAAGAGTTCATAACGCCACGCCTACGAAAAGTCGCACGTCACTAAGAATCTCACACAAAGGGCCGAGCATCAAGATTTCTCAGACAAGTGCCTAACGCAAACGAAACTACCTCTGCTGTGAAGAACGTCTGGTTTTACATTCAGAGCTGTAATTAGTACTGGGAATTATGAGCCTGAAAATAAATAAGCTATAAGACAGTAAAACAATACTAAAAAAATACTATCAAAGGTTTAATAAAAATACTTATTTAAAAAATGTATGTCATAGAGGTCACTAATTTGCATTCTTCTTTTATTTTTATTTGATGATTGCTATATATTTCACGGGTTTGCTGCCTTCAGCTTTATTCACAGAAGTCAGAATCAGAAACTGAATGAGAGAAGAAGAAAAAAACTGGGGGAGAAAAAGAAAAGAGATTCGACTTGAATACATTGAAAATTTATCATTGGTGGTTCACGACTTGCTTTAGATCGAGTGCTTTGTCATAAGAATTGATACAAGATGAAATCGAAACTCGTAAAAAAAAGCACTGGATTCTTGGTTTGTAACGAAAAACTCAATCAATAACTTCAAATCCTGCAAGTCAGATCTTTGGTTTATCTAATAGTCTGAAAAACCCAACCTTATGTTGGGTAAAATTTATGCTGCTTTTACCTCAGCAATACGTAACGATATCGTACATATAAAGGGTATATAACGGCAATCTACATTTTTACATCAGAAATTTATGGTGTTTTCGACTGAAAATTGCAGAATCGTTATTTACGTAAAAAAAAGCAAAGCAGTTTAAGTCATGGTAAAAGAAACAATTTATAAAGTTTTGGGTATGTATACACCTTATTCCAAAAACGTTGTCCTGATTCTTAGGGAATTAGGTACAGTAAAAGACAAAATATGACCACTAAAGCTGAAAACTTTCTTTTGTAATTTAATTAATTCCTAAATAGTTATTTTTCTAAACAATGTTTCTCTTATTAGCTGTAGTATAGAACTACTCATTTTGCGACTTTTGCTTGCCATGGTTCTCTCTCAGTCTCATCTTTGTAAAGCGATTGGTTGAGAACGCAGGACTCTATTAAACAGCTCCAAACGATCCACAGTCAAGTTATGCAGAAGCAATATGAGGATTTCTATGTTCTTAATCTTTAGCGCTTTCCCTTATAAGTTCCTATGATATTCTTTCAGGCATGGTCTATGCGAAAATGATAATTTCAACTCCAGCCAAATCAATTTCAAAGAGTTTATCAAGAACTTTATCATTGTATCGTAGATTTTATGTTACTAACAATGTTCTAAATCTTACCTTCAGAATCCAGTGATGCACAGAAGCAAGAACAAACGACTTCTTGTTGGAACTCGCAGTCTATCGCTTAATTACAAAGCTAATTAGGCTTAAACTGACTTTATTTACATTCGTCTGTAAGATTGTTTACATAATTCATCGTATGTCAGTAATCTATACTTCTTGGGGGACCAAGCTTGGAGAGACTGGTAGAACTGATCAAGTGTATGAAAAACAAAGAAGACTATTTCCTCTCTTTTACCGCCATTATGATCATTAAGTTTCACGAGAAAGCTCTCAGCTAGAGAGTGCAAAGATTGCGTGACAAAAGTGTGAAAAGATTAAGCAATTAACAGTAAATTTAACAGTTCGTGTTGTCCTTTATTAACAGATTAAGACAGTTGACACATAGTTTTCAGCTGCTATTGTTTCTACAGTTGTTTTTGGAATTGGATTTGTTAATATTTGTGTATTTGATGTTATGATGTCTTTGCGTATTTCTAACTCAATTTAACTGCCTCAATTTTGGGATAATATTAATATCAGTATCGTTCTGCATTTTGTGCGATATAAATCAGTGTTATCGCGATGTCAATGAGGTGTATTCTTAGGAAAAAAGTATATTCCTCGCTTAGTAAGTGGAATTATACTTAGATAAGATTAATTTATTTCGAAATGGTAAGCATCTCTAATGTTTCTGCGTCTTCACATACATGGTGCGATACTTTGTCAAGTAAATCTACCCATTGCGCATGCTTAGAATTTAATTTCCATCTCATTTCCCATCACGCAAGCGACTAGACAGTGTTCTCGAGACCATTAACCCACAATTAGAGACCTCTATTTGGAGATAAAAATACACAAAAAAGGTTCAGTCCATCGATGGCGTGTCACTTT